CAGCTATACAGAGAGTCATGTTTAGCTAATCTTAGTAGGATATGTCTCTGTAGGGGACAGTCTTTAGGTTGTAAACGTGTGAATACGTGCAAGCTTTGTTGAAAAATTTTCTATACACAGTGTCAACATTTGCACTCAGACCCAAGGAAGGCTTTTCTGCTCCCATGGGGCTGAGGCCTTGGTTCTTGATATGGCCAAGCCCTTGTAAAGCACTGCATGTTCACTAAGGACTTTACTCATTCCCTACAGTTTGTTTCTTTGTTCTTCATTTTTTTCATTCCCTTGTATTTTTGTTCTGCTTAGTCTGTTTTGTTGGTGATATTTCCACTGAGATTTTTGGTTCATTGTGTTTTAGCTTTAAAGATTTCTATTGTCTTTAGAATCTGTATCTCCTTGCTGAATATCTTACCTAAGTTGTTTTTTAAAAATTTATGTCTTGAATTAACCTCTTTATTTCATCATATTCATTTAAAGATTTTTAAATTGAAACTATATTTACATAGAATCAGGTTTCATTCTGCACTTTTCAAATAAAATCTGTTTCAGTTGTTTCTCTTCCTCCTCATCCTCCTTCCTCATCTGTTCTTTCCCAACTTCACTAGACTCCTTTCTGCTTCCATGCCTCAGGTGGTCTTTTGTCTTTGTTCTACTTTCTCATCATTTCTGGTTTTCCTCCAGTAGTCTTCTATATACTTTCATAACCATTTCATGCTACCTTATTTGCATACAAATAAATATTAGAAGTTGTGATCTGCATATGAGTGAGAACATGTGATTTCTGTCATTCAGAGTCTAGGTTCTCTTTGATCAATATTTAATGTAAACTTTTTGAATTTATTGTCTGGTATTTTAGAGTTTGGATTCGCTTTTTTAAGGCTGGTGAATCTTAAGAGGATTCATATGTTTTGCTTTTTATACTTCTTTTGTGTTTAAGATTTGTGTCTGTCAGTATAGATATCTCTTTCACTTTCAGTTTTATATGGAAGTCTTCTTAATAAGCACACTGCTCTCAAGGGCTCAATCCCCAATACCACTCAGAGAAGAGTAAATAATAGCATGCAAACATACCAAGTATAGAGACAATAAAAAAAGACCACTACTATATTGCCTACAAATATAGAAGTAAACAGGGCAAACTTGATGTAGAATAAAGAATGAAGTTAAAAAGTTATACTGGGCTAACTGTGAAGGTGTTGCACCTGAATTTGGTTCAACCTGCTCAACATCATAAACATTCAGAGGCCATTGTAGCTGTAGTTGAAAGATGCCATGGCTAGTGATTAAGTCTTGACCCTATCCATGTGGGATTGGTTTGGCAAGTATGCAAATTTCAGTGTTACAGGATCATGTGTGCTTCTACCTACACCTCAAAAGAAACTCCTGGGAGGCCAGGCAATATGTGCGAAGGTAAGTGTCCTTACAAGCAGACTACCAAGAGATTACGTATGTAACTATGAGAGTGAAATTTTAGCTGAAATGGACTTCTCAAAAATAAATGCCAGGGATGTGGAATATCAGCCAAAGAAAACTGCAGGCAGGACGTAAAACTAGTGTCAGAGAGATGCTAGTGTGCAGCAGCAATCAAAGCCACACTGGTGGGGACTGCCAAAGAAGTCCTTAAAAGCTTAATGGAGAGTAAGATGTCTTAATTTTTTTTTCCATTACCAAACTCATTTTTCCCCAAGAATTATTTCACAACCCAGGTAGATAGATATGTAAAATAGGGATACAAAACCCAAAATTTACTGGTAGTAAATCATAAAGAAATATATTTCAAAACGCCTTGTTGGTAGAAATATAGATTGATCATTTATTAAAGATGAAAGCAAATTTACATATTAATGAGATGGATATACTTGCTTATTTTTACATGAAGGGTTAAATCTTGATTGAATAGTTGATATTGCAGAATATAGAGCTTCTTCAACATTTTCAGAGTTGATCAGTAGTTTTATAACCATCAATGCTGAGACCACCAATTCACATAAATATGTACTATAAGTTGACAGAAATATATTTAGGGCAATTTCAAAATTATTGGAAATTCTGTACTAATCCCAAGCCAAAATTCAAAGAGTAATTACTTTTATGAAACTCAGAAACTCAAACAGCAATTTTACAAAGCAAACATTCTAACACAATATAATTCTATGCTACATTAATACATGTTGAACAATGATGTAAGGAAAATATTAAAATTCTTAGTTTTCCACAATTAGATCATTATGTTTTATAGGAATAGGAAATTTGCATTTTTTAAAAAAAGAACAGCACTAAAATGCATAATATAAAGTAGTCTCAAACCTGAGTCTATGTCATTCAGATAGCAGTTACTGGTGTTCTGTGGCCTAACAGCACATACATATTGGGTATTTAGATGCAACACAGTTGAGTACTTCACAAACACTTTGGATTCTTTAAAAGTTTAAGTTTGAATGAATATTTTGTCATTGCTTTCAAAACATTTTTACTCTTGTCAAATTTTTCTTCTCTCCCACATTTGATTACATGATCCCATGTAATTCACTGTTTAAGAAGCTGGATCTAAAACAAAGTATAATGCTGGTCACATATGAAATGTTATAATGAACCCCATTATTTTGTATGTTAACTAAAATTAATTAAATATCTGTGAGAAATAAAATAAACTATCAAGAATGTATATGTAAATGTACATTTCCTGTCCTGACCAAGTGTTCCCAAATACATGGTGGCTGCTTCCCAGATTACCACATAGAGACTTAATATAAATTATAAATGCTCTGTCAATAGCTCAGGATTATTGTTAACTAGCTGTTACATTTTAAGTTAACCCATATTCCTTATTTATGTTCTGCCACATGGTGGTACCTTTATTAGCATGGCACATTCATCTCCTGCTTCCTGTGTGTCTGGCTGGTATCTCCTTACTCTGCCATTCTCCTTCCCATCATCCTTAGTTTTGTGGCCCCACGTATACTTCCTGCCTGACTCCTGGTCATTCTTTGTTTTATTAAACCAATTTAAGTGACAAATCTTTACAGTGTACAAGAGGATTACTCCATATCATATATATTATATATATTATTATAAGCATATATTAATTTAACAGAAAGCTCCCATATATGTGTGTGTGTGTATGCATGTGTATGCGAATATACTATAAGTATATTAAGCCGTTCTACAATAGAAACTCTAATATTTCACTCTTATAGATACAAAGAAAGATTAATCAAAGTGTTAATAATAAATTGATAGTTTTAAAAATAACCATTTAAAAATCGGCCTAATCAAAAATAGAAATATTTTTCTCAGAAGCACATGAGAGAGGCTTCAGGAAGGATTGGGATTGTTGGGATTACAGTTGTACACCACCACATTTGGCTTAGTGGGAGTGCATTGCATAACAAACGAGAGTTCAAGGCTTTCATGGCTCAGTTACTTGATTTTCTTCGTGAAAGACAGTCTGAGCTCCTCTGCTCAGGATGAGGAAGGTAATTTGCAGATGTCAAGGCTGACCTTTTGGAAGGACTGAAGCAGTAACTTAGTAAAGACTCTAAGATGGGGCTGAAGTGCTGGCTTGGGGTAAAGCTGTTGCTGCCAAGACTGCTGACCTGAATTCCACCCTCAGGATTCCCATGGTAGAAGAGAACTGACTACAGCAAATTGTCCCCTGACCTCCACAAGTGTCTGAACACACACACACACACACACTTAACAGAGTCTAAGAGGTGAATTAAAGATATTATACAGTGTTGCCATAAGTCCAGTGTTGTGAAAGTATAAATGTACTTTGAGCATATTCCTTCTTTACCCCTGATTACACTCTTTAGTTCCCCTCTCTTATTACTTCTCTTTGTTCTCCAGTTTGACTTTTACTTTCTTGTCATCTGTACATATGTGATCTCATAGATATATAGAAGTGAGGATCCACAAATGAGAGAAAACTATTATTAACATATTTCTTATGGAGCTAGAAAGCTGGCTCTCCAAATAAAGGCACTCACTAAGCAAACCTATGACCTGAATTTGAGCTTGAGAAACCATGTAAAGGTGGTAGAAGAGAACCAACTCCACAAAATGTCTTCTGACCACCACGTGTGCCCACTCATACATATCACATTTACAGGCACACGAGTATTACTACTAAAATAAAATTAGAAAAAAGTAAAAAAATACATATCTGAAAACATGCATATAAGTAACAATATATGGACCAAGCAGATTTTATTTAGGAATATATATGTACATATACAGATATGCATGCTATAACAACTAATGCAAAAAGAGTCCATAAATTTGGAAGAGAGTAGGGCTGAGGCAGTATAGGGGAGGCTTTGGAGAGAGGGAATGGAAAAATGTAATTATATTATAATCTCAAAAATTAACAGCAATAACAAAACGTATCTATGTGAGACTGGCTTACTTCATTCACTAACTACTATTATTGCTGGGAATTGTTTTTGATGAAGGGTTTCACTCCAAATAGCTCAAGCAGTCTAAGAACCCTTTGTACTTTTTGCCTAACCTTCCAGAACGCTGGGATTGCAGATGTCAGTCACTAAACCCATCTTAAAAACACACCAAGCATCAACTATGTGTTGGACCAAAAGCTTTCAATATTCTTACTACACTGGGGATAGAACCCAGAGCCTTTGGCTACCAAATCAAGGGCAAGTTCTCTACTATAGGACACACTACAGCAAAACCCAAACCATAATAAAACAGGGTGAGAGTCGGAGCTGAGAAAGGAGCAGCCCTTATGCACTCATATTCAACTCTAATCCTTGGGTGTGAATTCTTTCCACCATCTTGGCTGTTTTCTTTCTCAAGTTCCTATTAAGCAAGCCACTGGCTGGTGGCTCATTACTGTCTCCGCCACTGCCACCTTACTTGTACTCCCTGTAGGTGGCGCTGTGCCAAGGGGTGCGCCTTTTAGGAGCCTGCCCTGCCCCTCTTTGTGATGCTCACATGAGTGACATTCTGTGACGTCACCGCTACTCTGTTACCGTTGGTATCTCGTCGCCATTACTGTCTGTGGTTGCCGTTGTTTTCCTCCTCTATGTTGTCCGCAGGCTGAGGTGGTGAGAGAATCAACATTGGTTTTTGTGAGATTGGGCAAAGACCAGTCTAGGACTGAGCCAGTGGGAAGAGGGGCACAGATTGGGGACACAGCCTGTATCTGTGACCATTGTTTGGCAGAGACGGAAGTGTGTCAGGCACTAGAGTGACTAGGCCTCATTGGTCATGGCAGTGGACTTGGGGGACCAATCCAGTGGCTTTAGCCACAGTGAAGTGATTAGATTTATAAACAATGAAATCCTTATGAATGGAGGTGGCCCTGAGTTCTACATGGCTTTCCGCATGCGGCCCTGGAATGAAATAGAAGACCAGCTTTGCACCATTCTGGTTGATCCTCAGGTGCCACGTTCTCTCAAAAGGGCCTGTACCTGGAGCGCCTTGGCCCTGAGTGTACGAGTAGGTGCGAGGCAGCGTGAACAGCAGGCTTATATGGTAGGGTTGCCACAAGATTCACTGGGGCAGTGCCCCTCGGCTCCCAGGGCCTCAGTCTCAGAGCTGTGGCAGCTGCGTCAACAACAAGAGGAGGCCATCACCCAGTTGATTTCCACTCAAGCTGCCCTACAGCAGGCGATGAGAGAATGTGATGTGCTGCGCCGGCAGTTGCACCATGAAAGGTTTGGCCAAATGACTCCGCAGGTTCATGATGTAGTGTCTGGAGTCCAGACCCAACAGCTTGGTGCTTCCGTGATGCCCATGAATCCAGATCATGCGAGAGTTATGGGTGCAATGGGTGGGTACACTGACAGGCAGTATTTGGAAGCACAGGTGTCAGCTGCAGCAAATGTTTTTTATATGCCAGGAAGCACAAGTCCCTGGCCCACAGCCATGCAACCCTCTGTGCCAGTCCCAATGCCATACCAATTCCCACCACATCCACCATTCCTAGTGGGATCTCCATTCTTGATGCCCTTTTCACCTCCAGTAGTCATGGAAACAGAAGGAGGTGTTGTAGTTCCAGTTCAGATGCCTCCGCCTCCTGTGTATCCATCAAATCCATATGCTGCCCCATGCTCCCAGGATCCCGCTGGTCTATGGAACCAGAGATGTTACATGCCTCCTGAAGGTCCTCCAGTCATCCAGCATCCTGTTCCTCCAGAGGACATCAGCAACTTCAGCCAGGAGGAAGACCCAGAGAATACCCAGGAAACAGATATCATGGGAGACAATGGAAGGCACATTGAAGGGCAAGATGCACGAAGAACCCAGGAGAAGGCTACCCTTGTGGATATTGAAAATGATAATGAAGAAGAAGAAGAAAATAAAGAGGAGGAATATGAAGAAGCAACAACGCCAGTACCAGCAGAAGCTGAATCAACAGCAGATGCTGCTGCTGCTGAAGCAGAAGCAGAAGCAGACGCAGAAGCAGATGCAGAAGCAGACGCTGAAGCAGATGCCGAAGCCGAAGCCGACGCAGACGCAGAAGCAGAAGCAGATGCACAAGCAGAAGCAGAAGCAGACGCAGACGTAGACGCAGACGCAGAAGTAGCAGAAGAAAAAGAAAAGGAAGAAGAGGCAGCAGCAACATACGATAATACTGTAGAAGCGTTGCAGATTCTCCAGCAACTACATCTTCCTAAGGAAGGTGAGCTCTATAGCCAAAGTGAAAACAGTCCCCAGGCATCAGCCCCGGCTCCCTTGGGCTCTAGTAAAAATCAAATCAAAGAAGGTGTAAAAGAGGTCCAGTCAACCCCTGTGTGGGAGAGTTGGAGCCAAGTTGTGAGAGAAAGCCCAAAGAAACCACAGCCTGAGCTGCGGAAGAAGGACAAGAAGCCACAAGTGGAAGCAGCTTCGGAACCCCAGCCTGTCTCAGGCTCTGGGATGAATTGGATCTGCCCAAGGTGTAAAGCTATGAATTATTCATGGCGCAAAGTTTGCTTTAAGTGCAGAAGGTAGGTAAAGGAAACCTGTCTTCTAACAACCCTGCTCCCTGTCAAAAACAACACGCTTTACAGACATAAATTAACCTGTTAGTTCTCTACAAAATATAGAAAATATTTTATTTATTGGTTGTTTAGACAGAATTTCTCTGTGTAACAGTTGCTCTGGCTGTCCTGGAACTTGCTTTGTAGACCAGACTGGCCTCGAACTCACAGAGGTTGCCTCTGCCTCCTGAGTGCTGGGCTTAAAGGCATGTACCACCATGGCCTGGTCTGTATTTTTTTTATTACCATCAAAAATTATCTTGATTATACTGTTCAGTAAGGAAAAGAAAGTTAATATTTTATATCGGTTGGTGTTGCATTTTTAAAATAACAACTATAAAATTAAGAATATCAGTACTATTTTTTAAATTTATTTGGGCAAAGTAGGGTTCCTTTTCAATACTGCATTCCTTAAGGCCAAGATTTCTTTTTAACAGCATTTCAATTTTGCAATTTTGCAGGTGGTGACTTCCTGATGACTGTTCCTGACAAGATGAGACATCGACGAAGTAAAGAAGATGAAACTATGAAGCCTTTGTTTTTCTTTTCTGTTTCTGTTTCCTTCTTAATTCCCTTTTCCTGAAAATACCACACATTGACTAGGAACACTCAAAATTGTAATCTGCATTGAATTTTAGAAATAGAACCTTTTATTGAAAATACTGACTTTTTCTTTTGTTTGCTTTTTTAGAAAAGTTCATAGGTTAAAGTGGTGTTTAGATACCATGTCTCCACAAATTTGCTTGTTGCCGAGCAAGCTGATCTTGATGCATTATAATACCTTCCAAGAGTCAAATGAAACATCTTAATTCTCATGGACTTTATAGTTTGGTGAGACCCCCCCCCACTAGCTAAAGCAAAGAAAAGTTAAATTGTAAGAGAAGAAAAGATTACTGGCACACATTATGGGAACACTGAAGAACAAACTAGTTTTGTTAGAGTTTTATTTCTTCACTAGGATGATGGGCTAGCTTAAAAAAGGTTTGCAGGTTGTAATGTTAAATTCAATATGACAACAAATTTGATATGTTTCATGTAATTCATGAAACTGTTATTTAGAGACTTCCATAAGTGAATTTGAGTAAACAAATTGTTCTTTTACATGCTCTCATCCCAAGTGAGGTACTACCAGGAAGGAGCCAAGGGTGAGAGTTTGACTTTGCCTCCAGGTTGAACTAACGGGGTCACTTAGTTCCTTGAATTACTCTATTAACCATAGTCTACCTTCCCAGGTTTTCTTTTTCTTCTGCTGCTACTAAAGAGCAATAAAGAGTGTGAACTTTCAGGATATGTCTTTTGTATGATTTGTATTTTGGGAAGGGTTGGCTCAGTTGGTAGCATCTCAAATTATCATCATCCATCCCATTTAGGTGTAGGACAGTCAATGTTATCCATGGTTGGGAGACCCTTCCTCTTCTGGTAAAGATCTAAAAATTGGAGGCACTTCTGTGAGGCTTCTGGGGGTGGGGTGGGGGAGTGGAAGGGACAAAGGGTGAAAAGAGGGAGTGGGTGGTTCTGCCTAAGTTGGAGCCCAGGTGCAGGGAGTCCAGCCCAGAAATCTCTGTACTGTTATTTCCCTGGGATTCCCTAATAGTCCACACACAGAAATTCACTTTCTGCCTATGGTCGATTGAAAGAAAATGGCCCCTAAGAGAGAGGCACTATTAGGAGGTGTGGCCTTGTTGGAGTAGGTGTGGTCTTGTTGGAGGAAGCGTGTCACCGTGGAAGTGGGTTTTGAGGTCTCATATATGCTCAAGATACCACCCAGAGTCTCAGGCCACTTCCTGTAGCCTGTGTAAGATGTAGGGCTCTCAGCTGTCTCTCCAGCACCGTGTCTGCCTGCATACCACCAGACTCCCCACCGAATACTCCCCACCATGATGAAAATGGACTAGACTTCTGAAACTGTAAGCTGCCACCTTAATTAAATGTTTTCCTTTGTAAGAGTTGCCACAGCCACGGTGTCTCTTCAAAGCAATAGGAACCTTAACCCAGAGACTGCCTTTCTGATCTTCAAGGAATCGTCACTAGTCTCTTACCCATAATCCTATCAGGGAGACATACAGTGCCCAACTTCTACTGCACTTCACAGGTCCTTCATGCCTACAAAATCAGTATCATGTGGGGAACTAACACACTATTTGCCAGGCTCTATCGACGATTTGATGTATAGTTTTGACTCTCTTTGGACTATAGCTTCAGAGTGCTGACACAGAGGAAGTACTTCCTTGAAGACTTCAAGTTGACACTCAAAAGCAACTAGAACAGACAAGTTTTATCAAAATCATTTGTGTTTATAGTACCTTGGAATTTTAGGAATATTGACACAAATGAGACTTGGGAATATACCAGCATGGTTTTACATATCATTAGGTCTTTCTAGATCCCAGTATAGTTGTTTTTTTATGGCTTCAAAAGACACTACTGTTCATTAGCAAGCATTTAGATTTCTATGAAAACAATCACTCTATACATACCTTTTTGTATATTTTAATTTATTTATATGGTCTTTGAGGTCTAAGTTTCAAAGCAACTTGAACCACCGAAGCTTTCAAATTATGACCTTCTTCTTGGTTTTAGGTACATAAAAGACAGTAACAGGTTTCTCTGGAAAGAACTTGGGCTTTGGAATCAGGCCTGAGATGAGATACTTGCTCTATTTCTAGCCACATTGTCTCAAAAAAATTACTGAATTTTTCTGATCCCCAATGTACTGGCTAATTTTATGTCAATTTGAAACAGGTTACAACCATCTGAGATGAGGGAACCACAATCAAGAAAATGCCTCGATAAGCTTGGGCTAGCCTCTAGGACATTTTCTTAATTATTGATTGATAAAAGAGTGTATACAGATGACATGACTTTTCTTTGATATGGTTAAGAGGAAGGTTTTTATTGTAGCTATAAGAAATATAACCAGAGGCATCTGGAAGACTCCAGATCAGAGAAAGAAAGCAGACTGAACATGGTCAACAGACTGGATATGGCTAGGGATATCTGTGAGAGAAGAGAATAACAGGGAATAGACAATAAAGAGAAAACACACTGAGAGAAGCAAGGCCAGGAGTAGAGCTGAGGAGAGAAAGGGGGGAGGGGGAGAGGGGAGAGGGGGGGGAATAGAGAGAGAGAGAGAGAAGAGAGAGAGAGGAGAGAGAGAGGAAAGAGAGACACACACACAGAGATTAACTTTTCAGATGGGAAGCGAGAGTTTCATTAAAAAAATAATACCATGTAAGTTGTTTCAGTGGGTAGTCCTATCATGGTCTTGACCTCTTTGCTCATATTCTCACTCCTCCAACTCTTTGACTGGACTTTGGGAGCTCAGTCCAGTGCTCTGCTGTGGATCTCTGCTTCTGTTTCCATCAGTTGCTGGATGAAGGTTCTATGGTGACATTTAAGATAGTCATCAATCTGACTACAGGCACCCTCTTCATTATTATTTAGGGTCTTAGCTGGGTTCATCCTTGTGGATTTCTGGGAATTTCTCTAGAGCCAGGTTTCTTGCTAGCTCCATAATGACTCCCTCAGACAAGATATCTCTTTCCTTGCCCTTCCTCTGTTCGTTTCCATCTCGATCATCTTGTTCTCTCAAGTTCTCCTCCCTCATCTCTCTCTCCCCTCCTCTTCCCATTCTACCATCCCTTCTCCCACCACTCCCATGCTTCCAATTTTGTCAGGACATCTTGTCTATTTCCCCTTCCCAGGGGAACCTATACATGTTTCTCTTAGGGTTCTCCTTGATACTTAACTTCTCTGGAATTGTGGACTTTTTATCCTTTGCTTTACAGCCAGCATCCACTTATGAGTGAGTACATACCAAACTCATCTTTCTGGGTCTGGGTTACCTCACTCAGGATGTTTTTTTTCTAGTTTCATACATTTGCCTGCAAATTTCAAGATGTCATTGTTTTTTGCTGCTTAGTACTACTCCATTGTGTAGATGTACCACATTTCCTTTACCCATTCTTTGGTTGAGGGGCATCTAGGTTGTTTCCAGGTTCTGGCTTGAAGCATGATTAATAAAAACTCAGAGAAAAAAATTGGGGTGCCACCTGAAGATCTGAAAGCAAAACAGCCAGCCACTGTCTCTAACCTCGACCTCAGTCTGAAATGGATATTCTGCCTCCAGGAATCTCAGAATGAGACTGTCTTTGAGAGCTGTCTTGCCCTGTCTTATATTTCTCTCTAGGTCTGGGATTAAAGGCGTGCACCACTGGGATTAAAGGCATACCCAACCCAATTTCTATGGCAACTAGTATGGCTACTAAGATTAAAGGTGTGTGTTATCATAACCTTGTCTATAAGGCTGACCAGTGGGATTGTTTTACTCTCAAATCGTCAGGCAGTCTTTATTTATTAAAATACAATTGAAATGCCACTATACTGGCTATTACAAATAATGCCACTATGCACTTAGTTGAACAAATGTCCTTGTAGTATGATTGAGTATCCTTTGGTATATGCCCAATAATGGGAGCCCACTGACTCTAGTCTGACAGTGAGGGAACAAGCATAGGACCAAACTAGACCCTTGGAATGTGGGTGACAGTTGTATGACTGGGGCAGACTGTGGAGACAGTGGCAGTGGCACCAGGATTTATCCCTACTGCTGTACTGGCCTTTAGGAGCCCATTCTCTTTGGAGGGATACCTTGCTCAGTGTAGATATAGTGGGGAGGGCCTTGGTTCTGCCTCAAAGCAATGTGCTAGCTTTTGTTGACTCCCCATGGGAAGCCTTACCTTCTCTGAGGAGCAGATGGGGGGAGAAGAGGGGGAAAGGTGAAAGGAGTGGGAACTGGAATTAATATGTAAAATGAGAAAAGACAGGTTTTTTTTAAAAAAAATTAAAAAAAATGATATCACACCTGGAAATAAAGGGTGCAGAAAGATGACTCAGTTAGTTAGTATCTGAAAGTAAGTGGGATAATGAGACAAAAAAAACTATATAGGAAGATGTATTTATGAGTAACTAAGGAGCGGTGCATGAAGAGTTATTTCTGCAAACAAAAATGAGGCAGACCATTTGATACGCATAAGTAAATGATCGTGTAAGAGAAGTCAAAGACAAAATTGGCATACCCTTGGGATCAAATTAGATGCTACACTCTGTAGAAGATTCTCTCTCTATAGGGAATGAAAGAAGAATGTTAACCAGACTTCAGGTACTGTGTTCGAATCTCAGTGTGCTAAGAGGAATGTGGCATCATCCCTGTCTCCTAGGGGTTTTCAAGATCATAGCAAAAAACTCTTAAGCATTTGTTAGGTTCCAGGTCAACTGGACATGCTATCTTGTTTATACTTTGAGAAAAAGGTAAGTAAAAGTGCCATAGGCCTGCCTTCATTTGATCTAGAAAAGGAAACTGGGCAGTAAGACTTAAAGAGAACCTAGATTATTTTTTTCCAGTTTTAAAGATTCCTTCTATGGTTGCCCAGGCTGATCTACATTTCTGGGCTCAATAAATTGTCGCAAATTGCTGGGCTACAGATATGTGCCATTGAACCTGACTAGATCACTTTAGCAACAGATCATTCCATGTCCTACTATTTTGGATGGATGAATGAATGGAGAATTGATGATCTAAATTCTGGGCCTGGAAATCTGAACAGCAGACCATCCAAGCAAGAGCTTTCCAAGATATACTGACGAATACGGCCTAGAAGCTCAGAAATATGCTATTTCAGCTAGAATCAGGGTGCTTTGCATTCAAGATGGAGGAGGCAAAAATAGGCAAAGTAGAGGAAGTAACTACATAGCAGACAGAAAGGTAAAAGCATTGTCACTTCAAGTAGGCTGTATTTGTTTAGAATACAGTCTAAATATTTTGACTATTTTGTATTAGAATACAGTCTAAATATTTAAACTATTTTGAATAGTTTGAGCTAGGTGTAGTATTGCTGTGCTGTGAGAATTTCACACTCTCTATCATAATTAGTTACTTTTATATTGCTTTGACAAAATACTTGACCTAAGCAATTTAAGTCAGGAATAATTTGTCTTATAGTTTCAGAGAACTCAGTGGGGCACAGCATCATAGAAAAGAAGAGGGTGTGAAGGAGTACGATACTTTATGGTGACTGGGATTTGGGAGTAAGATGGTGAGAAAGATGGAGAGGTGGAGGAGGAAAGGGAGAGGGGAAGGGAGACAGGAGAATATGCACCTTGAACTTAGATATACTTTTAGAAGTATATGCCCAGTGACCTACTTCCTCCAGGTAGTGCCCCCCCCACTTAGCATTTCTATCCTCTATCAAAATAGTGCCGCCAG